CAGCGGTCTACAATATTTCGACTGGGACTGTACGTCAAACAGTAGTTTGACTGCAGCTTTGAGTCACCCTAGCAAGCTCACCAAGAGTTCCAATACGCTCATACCTCATTATAAGTAGCACTTTACACAAACATAAGTTTGTTACACCCAGAAATTCGTTATAAATTATATTCCTAACAATATGTCTATTGCTAGACTATTGTTAGTTTAATTCGTTATAACTGATATTTCGTTATATCCGGGTTCGTTATATTGAGGTTTGAGTATATCCTGCTAAAACTGAAGCAGCAGATGCGTGTCATGTGCTGCTGTGCAGCCCTTGCGAGGCCAGCGTGCAATAATACATTTTTGCAATTTTTCCCGCTGTCCTACGGCAAAGAGTGACGTCTTAGCTCTCACTTTATCATTTTTGCGCTGTACACCGACCAACAGAAATATGCGCAGCGTGCACTTGCGGTTGAGCCTCTTGAGCCTAACTCGCAATCACGATGTTAGCCCTAACCTGGCGACCAAGTGCTAGTCCTTCCTACACTGTACGGCTCGACCATCTTTTTCGGTCGTTTTTCTCGTGATACAGTCGAGCCTTTTCATAATGAAATAACATGAGACATGTAAATGGCTTTGTTATATCCTGCACTTATTAATTTATTATGTACTTTATTCACAATAGCTGCACGACAGCTTTCATTTATTGTGTCATATCTCTGTTCATTCTATTGAACTTCTGCTGTGTGAGCTTTCATGTCTGTGCTAAGACGTAACGATCGAAACCTTTTTTTTTTACTGGATGAACTGGGTCGAAGTGCTCAAGGGGCAATCGTTTTACCTCTCACAATTTTATTCAGTGCTGAAATTTCTGTTTTGAGGGCTGATGTTATTGTTCTGAGTGCTGACGTTTTTGTTCTGTGTGTGCAACGACGTTGAGTTTTTGTACCTGAATGTGGATTTTTCTTTCTACAAAGTGTGTTGAGTGTGCAGTGTCAATGCAGCATTCTTGTTTAGTGTTCTTTAACTGGTCCATTCGATGAAGAGGTACTTTGTTTACGTTCGTCGTGCTGTACTGCCGACTGCTATGAGCAAGCTCCTACCATTTTCTTCCCAGCATCCATTTCTCTTGTGTTCTTTTCTGTTACACAGTTCGCCGCAAAAGTTTACGGCACAAAGGGCTTTAGAGGTTACCGGACTGCCACAAAGAGTGAGGAAAAAGCTTTGAATTCAAAGTTTTAGTCTTCAACGTCATTGTCTTATGTCTTGGCAATAAATACATTAACGGAATCTCATGCTGGAAGGCCAGGAAAACTTTGTGTTGATAGCTAACTTGACTACACCTGCTAATTGATTGATATGTGGGGTTTAACATCCCAAAACCACCGTATGATTATGAGAGACGCGTAGTGGAGGGCTCCGGAAAAGTATACCTCCTAGCATGCCAGTCTCTCCTGAGGCCAGACGGTCATTCGAACCCACAGCAGGTGATGCATATCAGTGGTTTTTATGCCGGGTATCTGGATAAGGTGGTTTCGTTGTCACAAAGCCTTTTCAAGTGGCGAAAGGGGCGAGGCCTGATTCCAGCTCGTATGTTCCTTAAAAAACTACCTTCGCCCTTTGAGGACATGTTTACAGAACTCTCTAAATGTAAAGCGCCACTTTTTAATGAGTTTTAAGCTTGCATGTGTCCCAGAGATTGCATCTCGTGAACTTTTGTGTGTGACTGAATGTTATTTACAGTTCCGTGCGCATTGCATTGTGCAATACTGTTTCCGGTCAGGGCCCTTCTTTGGAGTGCTCCCATTTAGTCGCGACTGCATTGCACAAGGCTGCTGTTTGTCAAACAAGCAATGAGCTTTAGTTCCTCTAACGTAAACTTCGTTCAAAGAAAGCATCCCTTGTGAATACATAACGACGCAGTTGCAAGCTCATTCAATGCTTCTTTGTTGCAAAGTCCTTGAAAAAGAGCTTGAGGCGCGCGGACATTGCAACACTTCACGCACGAGCCAACGAAAACAAATTTTTTTGGGTGTGTTTATTTGTGTGTGTGTGAATGCATGTAACCTTGAAAACGAGCTTCTTCGCGGTGCCCGTACGGCGTCGGTGTCAACCGTGACGACGTATCACTGGAGTTCTTTTCCCGGTGCTGCACTGCGAGAAAATGTCGCACGGTTTCACTCGAAGCAGTGTGCCGAAAATTTCACTGGATCTTCGTTTAGATGGGCACGCTCAAAAGTTGGCTGCGTAATTTCAGGTTTACTTTATTTGCTCCTTGAAAACCCGTGCTGTTCAAGGGGAGCAAAATTTTTTGCCTTTTTCATGAAGCTTACCTCAGTTTACGGAAACTGGATACAACACTTAAATCGCCTGTTCTGCAAACCATGCTACATTTTACAGTTACAGTGAAGACATCGATCACAGGATTGATGTCGGCAGTGCAATATCTCATTGGCTCTTCGACCACAAAAAGTTAACAAACCGTATGCTGAATGTGGGATACACAAATCCGATATACACTAATGAGCATTCTTAGCGAAATTAGATAGCCTTCAGTTGCAATTAAATCAAAAGTCAATTTCAACTGGTAGCCTGGGCGAATGCTCTAATAGTAGTCTGAAGGAAAATCACATGGCTGTGCCTTGATCGCTTCATGCTGAGAACTTATCTGACAGCAGCAGCCGTCATTAAATCGAATGTGAGCAAAGGAAAATGTAACAATGCTGAAAAACAGATCAGATTACCTTAAGATGTTGTTACCATGGTAATAAAGGTGCTTGGCGGCATACGTGAAGTACCTGAAGTGAATATGATAATCCTAAACAAAGTTACAGCATTTCTCTTGTCTCAGTAACGGTCTACAGACAATATACGAGGACACAGCAAACCTGACCTAAACATAACTGTACTGTTGTGTGAATCCTACGTAAACCAAGTCTGTCGCCTGCCATCACCTTCCACCTTTCATTCTTTGAATACGAAGTACCGTCGTGAGGGCCTTCCGAGCCGACTGTGCCATGTCTTCTTGTCGTGCAGCCCCGGGAAATTTTTTGCAGTTTTCCCTCCTGTGTACACCTTCCTGTTGAGCTTGTGATAAATCTCCACGTAAAGAAAAAAAAAAAAAGCACGACTGTTATTTATTGCTACCACATTCGTCACGTTCTTGTACAAACATATCATTGTTTCACTGTGTCCACGATACGTAAACTGGTGTATACGTCTCAATTGCTTGCCAAAAAAAAGAAAAGATCAGGGGAACCCATTCTCTGGCCCATCCCTGTCTACGTACGTACTACTTGCGATATACGTGCCGAGTGTATCCATGTGTTTTCTTTTCATATTGTTGGAGCGTTTGTTTATAAATATGACCTAATGAAAAATACTGTATGTGGTCTGATTATTTCCTTTATTTTGGTAGTACTTTGGGGCTGCCTGAAGTCTGCAGAAGCAGCAGTCACGGAGTCCCATGGTAACAATAAGAATAGTCACGGATAATTTCGCGTGTGGCATAAAACGTATATATTAGCCATGATAGACAATTGGTATATATTCAAGAACGTAAAGCAGAAGGCAACTCAGTACTTGGTAACCATGAGACGTGACAGAACTACTATATCACCTATCACAACACCTAATAGTATGCGAAAGCACATATAAAAGATGAGTTTGTAACAAAAAGGCCCACTGAAATACTATAGCAATGGCTCAAGCAACCTGGCAACACTGCTCAGTTCAGAGTGGTACAAGAGCAAAAGAAGTGAATTTGCTGTTAACAAAGTCAGTATGCACATGAAGGGTGCATTTGCTGCTGTGAGAATTTTAAGACAAAAGCAGCACATCTACAATGGTTGTACAGGATATCTTTTTTTTTTTTTTTTGCTCAGCCACACGATATGATAACACAGTTTCTGTGAACGTAATTCTGTAGAATACTTGAGAGAGTAACTGCTCTTGCAGTGAAAAAGAAAATTCTGGCTCTTCCGAGATCGAGAGGTATCATCAGATGCCTTCTCAACTGCTATTCATCTGCAGCACACTGTTTAAATGTGCTGGAATAAAGTGGACTGCAGTAGTTCAGTAACATACGGTTCACTGTGTTGCGCAGCTAAACATGGTTCTGACGTTGTTTCCAAAAATGTGCCAACCATACAGCAGTATTGCATAGGTGTAGCACAATCGTATACCTGGAGGAACACTGGTATCATCCGGACAAATCCAATGAAAACGCATCATCGAATGCCTATTTTTATTTTGTAGACGTTGTACTTCTGGGCATACACATATCTAAAACTTGTCATACGGAGGCACAACATGCGCGAAGGAACATTGTGCCAGAAAGCAATGGCTTTTAAGTTTCGTGTGGCAGAAATTAATGGGATAGCTGGCTTCTCAAGGAGCTGATGGATGAAAAAAGACGAACGTTTTAGCCGCACAGCTATCTAATTAAATTTAGATGAAACATGCACAGGGGTACATTAGATCACGAGATGGTTCGGACATACTTGTATTTTATTTCCTTCATTTCAGTGGTAGTGATAGGCATACGAGCGCAAATGATGACACGTTTTCCATTGGTGCGCGCGCGCTTCGCAATGATACAAGTCGGTCCAAATTCCTCGACCATGTTGGTTTCGCTGAAACGCCCAAGATAGCGTTACAGCCCGAGAACTTGTTGCTTCGCGCAACGGAGCAACGCGCGGAGCGAACATATATCGATTTCGCATCGATACGTAAAGACATATTGTTGCGGCGTTTGTACTTAACAAGGACCGTAAAACGTTCATGAGTGCTCGGTTCGTTTTGCTCCTAGCAAGCTTGGCGGGCAATACTATAAACCGCAATGTTTACACGCAGCGACGAATGAATAAACGAACAAATGTCTATAATCTACGTCCGACATTTCTAGGGACATTTGGGGACTTCTCGACCAAATTAGGGGAGAACCACCTGAGTGTATTGCGGAGCAGCTGGCTTTCTCGTCGCGGTGGGCAAACAAATAAGAAACGACGTGCTCACTCCCCGCTTTGATACGTGAGTTTCACCCAAGTACGCTGTTTGCTGTGCAGAGCGTACCATTACTTTTCGCGGTATTCGTCCTTATCGCTGTATCTGCCGCGATATGGAGCCGATATCGCGAAGCGATAGCGCTTATTTCCGTCTATGCGGAAGCACTAACGTAACGTAGCTGCTTGTGAGACGCCTAAAAGTTGCCTGTGTATACCCGAGTTGAAGGTCGTGATGAGAATACGCTAGCGGTGACTTGATGGTACTCGCGGTAATCGATAGCGTAGCTTTCGTTCCGAGGAATAGGTCTTAGAGAAGGAGGATTTGTGGAAAGAAGCGAGATAGACCGAGGGGAGAAAAAAAAGATGCTCCTGCATTTTCAGGGCTCCAGCAGCGGCCGCACTGCAATGTCCGGGGTTTTCCACTGGTTTCGTTTGCTGGCCGGAGGCATTTGCCTGCCTCTGGTATTTCCGTACATCGTCTACAGGCTGTACAGGCTACGCTGGCGATCGCTGAAGACCAGTTGCCTCCAGGACAAGGTGGTCCTCATCACTGGAGCGAGCTCGGGACTTGGAGAAGGTTTGTTTTCCTATCCTAGCTGCTGCGTTCCTTCGTGCGTTTTTACGACGCTTTCAACCTATCGAGCTATAAGTAATCAAAGCGTGTTTCTATTTATTGAGAAACTTGTTACGAAGATCGTCAGCTGTTACCATACGGCAAATGCCGATTCAGATCGGATTGCATGATCGTGATTGGCTCGAGCTGCAGGTGGGAGCCAGTCATAGTTGAGAGATTCGATCCCAATCGAGCTTGATGGCAATCAACAGTCGTATACAACCTTGTGACGCCTGCCCGACCATACGCGTATGATTGTGCGGTCGGCTGTACGAATGACATCATATGCCGTTTATGTGCGCGCGATTTAACGATTAAATATTGCAATTGTGCCACTGCACCCTGAACAACAATGTTTCACCTTTGGGGCGGCTATGCGGGAAAGACCAGTGCTGCACGTGTTTAATCTGTAGTGTCAAGTAGGCTTTTCCTTTTGTCGTTTTTATCGATTATTTACTAGCCTTAATTACCAGCTTTGCAGCATCTTATTTGCTTGTATTACGCAGCTTATCAGTTACGTTAGCTCAATTTGGTAATTACCGGTGATGTTACTTCATGGATATGAAGTGCAGTTAGATTGTACGTATCAGACCAGGGAGAGTATAGTTGCTTTAAAATTAGCGTGCCAATTGTTGGGCTTTTGTACTACTTTGCAGCCTTTTCACAAGCATTTCTGAATTGCAGTATCACTATCACACTATGGGGATCGAAATAATTTGTGAATTGTTCTTATTTCTTGAAAGCCAGCATTTCATTAAGAGGACTTGACAGGGCCACAGTTTTACTGTGATGAAAGCAGTTGGTAGCTGTGATGTACGCAAGCTCACGTGTCAATGTGTTGGTTCCAGAGGCGTTAGGGGTTTTTCTATATGCGTACGCAAAGCTTGCTGGTATATTGCAGGCATATAATGTAAGCATTCGTCACTCTAAGGGAGCCTGCAAGAGGTGAGCGTGCAACACATGCGCAACACAAACACAAAGCTTTGCAAACGCCACTCCGAAACTCCCTATTTTTTTCGACACTTTCTCATCTCGACAAGCCTCAATGCTTCCCAGAACTTCTGTGTACTTGCATTTGTAACAACACTTTCAGGTTATGGTAATGTCTTTATAAGGGCCCGTGGGATAATTCTATGATTAATACTATAATACGTATCTCTTTCTTGCAATCCACAGCGTTGGCACACAAGTTCTTTGCTGCTGGCTGCAAGGTGATTCTTGCGTCCCGTCGTGTTACTGAGCTCGAAAGAGTCAAAGATGACCTCATGCAGTCTGTGCCGGTGAGTGTCCTAACCATTTCACTTTTCTCTTGTGGTCAGCAATGTTTTTTTCTTTACAACACCCAACTTCATATCTGCCAGTATTGTGTTGCAGGAAAGCTCAAGGACAGATTCAATTCCAGGCCACAGTGTGAGGGGAGGGGTGAACACGAGCACGCCGAAGTGCTTAGATTTCAGCATTTGTTAAGGAATTTCAGGGGGTCAAAATCGATCCAGGGGCCCCTCCAAACTATGGCATGCGTCATATTCATGTCGTGGTTTTAGCTTATTAAGCGTTTAGTTTTAAAAGTTACTGGCGTTTGTGTGCTTTAAATGCTGCTTCTTCATGCATGAGTGCTTGTGTTCGAGTGCAATTCAACATGCTTGCTCATCCAACTGTGTTGAAATGCACTTGGGCCATTAATGCTACACTTTCCTGCTGTCAAATTGAATCTGCAATCAAACACAAATTTGCCATTCCTGTTAAATGTCCTCATTGGTGTAAGTACTTGCGCTATCTGGGCAATGAATTTGTCTCACTCCAGCGGATCGATGCTGGGAGATAGGGAGAATGCTGCCCATTGAAAGTTCTTTTTCATGCCACCAGCCACCCAGGTGAATATGAGTAGCTGGGAATCAAACTGGTTTCAACTCGTCTTAACTTGGATCAACTGGTTTCAACTGGAGCTCGATTGGTCCCAGCAATTAAAGCAAACAGTTCCAGTTACGATTAACTTGAGCTTTCGGGCTATACTCCGATATTTCAATACTTTAAAAGCATGAAATATGAATGACAAACCCTTGCTGTGTGTCTGTGTTCCCTCAGTTGTCCGTTCACTTTTTGTTCAGTCAGTATGTTGTGCTGTCCAGTTATGAGCCAGCTGAGAAGTGAGAAGCAACCAGTACCACAAACATTTGTTCTGCAAGTAACTAGACCCCCTCGAAATCTTACTGGAACCTTAACCAGTCAATTAACAATTCCATGTCGTCCACAAATGTATTGTCTTTTTCCAACTGCTCAGTTGTCTAGAGTCAAATGTGATAGCAATTTGTAATGGCGTCTCCTTCGGAAACTAGTGGGGATAGGTAATTACTTGCATCTTATTGAATTATGCTTTACTACGTCTGTTGTAGTCCAGCATTTTGCCTGTATCTACTTCACACCCTTTCTTTTTTCATTAAAATAGTCTCTGTGGCATAAGAGTTGCCAACACCTACAGCAAGCCCAGCGGCACCAGTTCCCTAGTTTCTCCCCCCTGAAAACTTTAAATGGGCAGCCAGGTGGCGCTATGTGGTGGGTGATTAGAGTTACTGTATATGCTACCTTTAAGCAGCAGAGTTGCGCACACCTTTTCCTTCACCGCTCGCGCCGCTCGCATCACGTGGTGCAAAACGACGTCAAATATTCAAATTCGTGCAGAGTAGCCAACTTTACTGGAATGATAGCGCGGCGCCTGCGTATTCTCTGCCCGCACCGACTTCAATGTCCTCGTGACCACCATCATGGGCTCTTAGTTTGTACGTATACTTCTTTACATGTTACCGGATAAAATCTGTGCATGCGCAGCTCTTTACAGAACGTAAACCGTTACCAATGTAAACTGCCCGCCGGATAGGCTTTGCGTTTGCGGCGCTATCTCGGAAATCCACCTTCGTCCGTAGGACTTCGCGATATCCGCATTGCGGAGACTCCAGACATCGAGTCAAAATAAGTCGAGGTGTGAGCGCAAATGGGATTGCATTGTTTCAGCCGGATTACCAAAGCCACAATGGTTAAAACATCGAAGCCGCAAATGTGTGAGCCCCCGACAGACTGGATAGGTGGGGCCATCTAGCGAGGTCAAATGAACCAGGCAATCTGAAAATTCTTATTGCAGAAACATTGTGCATCATATGTCTGGTGTAAAAACAACTCAGCAGCGTCATTATGAATTAGCTACCCTTTTTAATCATTTTCATCTCATTTAATTCTTTGTTGAGTTTAGCCTCCCAAAACCACCACATCATTATGAGAGACACCGTAGTGAAGGGCTCCGGAAATTTTAACCACCTGGGGTTCTTTAACGTACACCTAAATCTAAGCACGCGGGCCTCACGCATTTGGGCTACCTATAGCAATATACCACCTCACTGCTACATTGCAATCTTGCTCAGCGCGCATGAATAAGTCTGCGGCACCCCACCCGCGCCGGAACATTGCATACGTATTTTTCTCCTGCGTGTGCAACGAGTGGCTTCGCTGTACAGCCGTTGAACGTAATGGCGGACCTATTCGCAACTCTGCTCCCGCAGGGAGCATACACAGTAACTCTAGTGAATTAAGGTTCAACTAGAGAGAAAGCAGCTCTGTCTTTTCGTGGCTTATCTATTCCTATTGAAATGCTTGTTATGCATTCCTATCATCCTGCATATTGTCCACAAGATTTGTGCAAAAATTAAACTTTTGCAAAATCTTTGCATAAACACAGGAGTGGCACAAGCGTGGTGTATAAAGAGGGCCTGAGCCCCCCCCCCCCCCCCCCCATCTCCTCTAGAGCAGACATAGTCAAAACAAATCACATATCTTGGCAGCCTCTCTGCCCCACTTAAAGGAATTCACTTACCATGGGTACCCCTCCAGCAAAAAAAAAATCTTCTCTCCACCCCTGCATACTCGCTGTAAAATTACACAGAAGTCATACAGACTTACTGGAACGGTATCTGGCAAACCTTTTCAGAATAGCATATTTCTCCCAGTTGTGCAAACCTAGTCATTTCTAAAGTAAGCAAATTTTTGCATTTACAGCAGCCCTCGGGGCACCACGTACCAGCTGTGCTGCAGCTCGACTTGGCGGACCTGTCGACCATCACAGAAAAGGCTCAGCAAGCGTTGCGCATCCACGACCGTATCGACATTCTCGTCAACAGCGGTGGCATCAGCTACCGCGGAGAGGCCTGCGACACGTCGGTCGAGGTGGACGTCAAGCTTATGATGGTCAACTACTTTGGACACGTCGCGCTTACCAAAGGTCCGTATAGTCTTGAATTTGTTTAGTCTGTGTTTCTCGTCTCGACATGCCAGTTGTTTTTGTCCGTGTTGAAATGCTGCTTGAAGCTTGTGAAGCACCTTTTTATCATGCCAAAATAGTAAATGTAGTTGGTGGTCACACCACGTAAATTCTATGTTTGAGGTTAGATTTCAGGACTTGGTACGTTCTGTTCTGATTTTCAAGCGAAGCCTATTATGAGTTACAGATTTTGGTGGCACCAGCAAGGGCACAGAAGTGCCCCTTGAAGGTGCACCGATCACTAGAGGCCAGATTTATTGGCACTGAAAAATCGGGTTTTACGCGCCAAAAATAGGCGGGCAAAACACTGTTTTAGGTGCCCAAAACCATAATTATAGGCACAATAAACGTTGACAAAATCCAAGTTTTTGGAGAAATACGTGTGGGATCTGTGTCTATGACTGGAGAGCAAGAAGAAGTGTTTTAGTTTATGATGGTACAAAGGCTCCAATGATTTAGAATAGCCATGCAATTTTTTCTTCCCTCAGTGTTTGCTGAATACGATCTCTCCTTTTCTGGTCTAGCATGGAGCACGCTCCTGGGTATCTTTCTTTTTGGCATGCCCCGCCGCGGTGGTCTAGTGGCTAAGGCACTTGGCTGCTGACCCGCAGGTCGCGGGATCGAATCCCGGCTGCGGCGGCTGCATTTGCGATGGAGGCTGAAATGTGTAGGCCTGTGTGCTCAGATTTGGGTGCACGTTAAAGAACCCCAGGTGGTCGAAATTTCCGGAGCCCTCCACTACGGCGTCTCTTCTTCGGTTTTGGGACGTTGTACCTCACATACCAATCAATCAATTCTTTTTGGCATGGCTGAGAAGGGCAACACAGGAGCAAATAGCCGGTGCGCTAGCAGGCCAGGAGGGTCTTTTTGCCTCGTATTAGCTTGGTCTAACCGCACAAGGTCAATTTCTCTTTTGTCTGTGAACACCTGAAAGGGCCATTCACCAGGTTTGAGACTTTCGAGCAGGCAAGAAGAATGCATGCATTCGGTGCTCACAATCTCAACTGCCAAACTTTTCAATGCTACGCACCCCTGAAAGAGGTGAAATGTCAAACTGAAAGTCGCTTGAGCTTCATTCCACGGGTGCGCGTCTCAGCGTGGTGGAGGTGATGTGTACAACAAGGAATCGTCCTGCGTTCATCAAAGTAGTATTTGACACTGCGAGAATTATTCGAGGCGACATGGGACGAATCTATGTGCATTCTTTTTTTTTTTGTAACTTCATATCGAGTGTGCACCTTTCTGGTTGAAAAAAAAAAAAAAACTGAAAACACTTCCTGAGGTTTAGTCGAAGATTTTATTTGCGACAACAGGTTAGCAGAAGCTGCAATTTGCCATCATGTTCTTGCATAGTCTTCCCCATACAAGAATGTAATCTATCACTACTGCTACATTTGGGAGAACTTCTAAGACGCAGTGCATTGCTGCCTGAAATATCTCCGGCGCGGAGATAATGCCAAAAGGCATGTGCAAGAAGGGATAGCATCCATAAGATGTACTGATCGTGCAAAGTTTCGAGCTTGTGTGATCTGGCTTTATCTGCGAAAACCCTGACACTGCGTCTAAAGTTGAAAAAAAAAATTAGCTCCTGCAGAATTTGGCACGTATTCAAGTGTAGGCATAGGAAAGCTTTTCTGCAGATGCGCCTTGTTTAGCTCTATGGGATCTAGGCAGGTGTGTACTTTATCTTTCTGAATGACTGGCACCATGTGACTGGACCATTCCATTGAACCTTTCACCTTTGTTATCATGCCTTGTTCTCCCATGTGCTGTAGCTCTTCTTTTTTTCTTTCTTTCTTTCTTGGAGCGATATGGGAGCTCTTCTGGCTGGCAAGACGACTCCGACGGCTCCAGCCTTCAGCTTCATTGCATATCTTCTCCTTTCAGCTGCCCCAGTCCACTGAAAACTTCTGCAAAAGGTTGTGCCTCTGGACAAACTCTTCGACGAGAACTTTTTGTACACGACGAATAAACCCTAAGTGTTCCACTACTAATCCACTTAGAGTGAGAGGCACGTTTTGTTCAGCCACAAGAAAGTCTCATCGTGCTCTTTTGCACATGGGTGCAGCAGAATTTTTGTCATTGCTAAAGTCTTATGGTCGAAGAAAGCAGTCAGAGTTGCATGGCAGGTGTGCAGGCACTTCTTGGGCAGTAGCTTTGCATCTTTGCTTGAAATCACGCTGCAGTTAGCACCTGTGTCTAGCTTACACGTGCCTTGAAGGCCTTCCGTGGCGACTGCTTCTGTACAGTTATCTGCTACTTCTACCGCACTTACAGTCAAAGTTTGCAAGAAGTCTTCCTCTGCTTGTACCTTGCGCAGCTATTCTTTGACGAATCTGTTTTGTCGCTGCGCCGACGATCTACATGCTTGAGCAAAGTGATTATGCCCACCACATTATTTGCATGTTTTGCCCAGAGCTGGGCACCTTGCGCCACCATGCTCTCTGCAACTGTGACGACTACAATGTTGTACGTGAGCGCTGACAGCCTGAATTACTGCCTCCCGTGCTGCTTCTGTGCCTTCACTGAGTTCTTTGAACTGTTCGTTTTCCCAGTTTCTGGGCATGGCATATTTCAATGGTCCTGCTGTACGACGCGACCTTGGCAATAAGCCGTCCTTGCAAGTGTTTACCTCGTAATCTCAGAATAATCCAGCTGCGTAGCTAGCGGTCTTCTAGGTCCTCGAACTCACTATTCTTGGCTAAAAGCCTGAGATCTGTTGGCCAGTCATTAAAAGACTACCCTGGCTTCTGATTTCTTAATCCGAAACGAAACTAATGAAACTGTTTAAGTTGTCACTGGCTTGTGAAATTCCTCCAACTTGTTCACAGCGTCTCGACGCTGTTCCTGTCTGCTTCCTTCTCGAATCTGAAGGTGTTGTAAGCTTTTCCGCCTTTTTCGCCAATTGTTACGAGAAGCATTGCGGCTTGTACTTCTTTAGGCTGTTTACTCAGCTGGGTAGCAGTGGCAAATAAGGTGAACTCACTTTTCCTCGTCTTTCAAGCTAGCCCTGCGTCTGTTGACGGGCCGAGTGGCGGGGGGGGGGGGGGGGGAGTGCAGCGTCGACGGTTGTGACATAGCGACGGGGATCTGCTGCCACCATATATGCGAGTCAAGGTCAGGCAATGAGCAACTTTATTACAAGAACAGGAGGGATTACATATACAACTGTGGCTGCAGTAGTGCATGTGTTGTAATGGCATAAACAGTGAAGTGCCACTTTATGAGCCCTGCTACATGGGCAACTGTGCAACGAACGATAAGTTTGCGTACACTATTTGAAAACTCCCTATTAGTGAAAACTAGTGGTAAGCTAGGTGTACATGTCTTGGGACATGGAATGTGATAAAGGAACACTGCTACAAGAGTGATTTCGCCATTAGTGGATAGCCCTATGGACTTTCGACAGTTAAGGGAGTCACACCTGTGTGATCTTTCATTACTTTCCTTTTTTTTTTTGCAGCAATACTGCCCAGCATGATCGACATGAGAGACGGAACCATTGTTGCCATCAGCAGCGTGCAGGGAAAGATTGGCCTGCCTTTTCGCTCAGCCTGTAAGTTGGCCCTTCATGCTTCACCGTCAAATTACGGCTTCAGTCAATAGACCTGCAGCCATGTGAGCCTTTCGAGAAACCGGCGTCATGTGTTATAGCGCAGCATGTGTTGAATCTGCACCAGGAACTCCAAATAGTCTTATAACAAATATCAGACAGTTTATTTGCACATTTCGCTGCATGAAGCTCTATGCTACTACGCTCGAACCCCATCATACAAAGTGGCATATTACATGAAAATAAGTTTGTTATATCCGAAAATTTGCTACATGAGAAAAAGGTTTACAGTCATACTCCACTACAACGAACAGCGATTCAATGATATTTCCGCCACAACGAAAAATTCACGATTCCCCGTCAGCAGTCCACAGGAGTCAATGCATATATATTGTCGCTTCAACGAACACGTTTTCTTTGGTCGTACCACTTCAACGAAATTTTACGACGCAATTCCAGGCTCAGATACTTATTGCTATGTCATGAACCCATTCTTTAACATTTCGATGCATTTTCAGAGCCTGAAAATGCGCAACGATGTCTAGAACACGCGTTGGCACCAGCAGAAACTGCCACTGTTTAGCAAGCATGGCGTCGCCGTTGCTCGATAGTGATGGCAATGAGACTGCCCTGCTTGCTTGCTCTTGAGACAAAGACGATCCAAAGCTGAAGCTCAGTCACTCAGTTCATGGTTTCCTTCTCGCAGCTTCTGGGTGCAATCACGGAACGATGCTTTTTCCGATTTCAATGCTTATGTTATTCGTGCTTGGCCAGTGTGGTAACTTATCAGAGCGGCTGTTTGTCCGCATTATCAACAAAATCAGCTATCCGCGAGTGATGGATGATAAGAATGGCATAGATTAAGGCAAAAGTCACCGCTCCATGACACTCAGCCTCCATCTTGGCGTTGTCGGATACACTTTGATGGCGGACAGCTGCTGGTGTTAACGGGTTAATGCAGCCATTTGGTACGTTCACGAAAGGGGTTGTAGGCGTTGTTTCAGAGTGCTTTTCACCATGGCCTCGCTATGCATGGGTGAAAATCACATCGTGATGCTGCTGAAAAAGAATAGGAAGCAGCGGCTATTTTTTGAATTTTGAGAATAAACGTTCCTTGTTTTGGTAGCTCAGGTCAGCCATATTTTCAGTTTCACTACAACGAAGTTTTCGCTTCAACGAAATTTTTTCTGCGCCCCGTCAGTTTCGTTGTAGCGGGGTTCCTAACACTGTGCCTATTTCAAGACTATTCTTCATTTACTTGCTTATAACTGATATTTTGTCATTGTCACAGAACGAGCGCTAAAAAAGAGCGCGCCGCCAAATTCTTGCGACAACGGGCGGGAGAAACGCCGCGAGGTCAAAAGAAAAAAAAAAGAAAAGTAAACGTCCAAGGCTCCCCGGGCGCGCGCTCTCCCCGCGGAAGCGTGGCGTCGCAGACGAACCTCCTCACCCCGCATCGGCGGCCCAGCAAGCCCGCGATTTTTCTAGAACGAACGGGGCGGGGTCATACCGAGTTGAATCATCCTCCGGGGAGGGCAGTCGAACCGTCTCGCACCTCTCCCCAGCTTTCGCTGCGTATCGCGCCGACGAAATGAGGAGAACCGTCTGGAATGTCGCGCGCAAGGTATTTAACCGAGCAGCCGAGATGAGAGATCAGGAGGAGACGGAAGTTAACGCCAGAGCGCGTAGGGATTCCGCCGTGTTGTCGGCGAAGAATTCGTCCGTAGTGACGAAGCAGGAGATGAAGAGGATTTCCACCTGAGGGGTGACGACTCGAGCTACAGGCAAGAGTGTGTGTTTACCGCTATCGAGCGAAGACGCGGGGCAACAGCTGCGTGTGTGAAGCCGACGTGTTCCGGCGAAGACGTTGAAGTTTGAAGAGTGGCCAATTGAAGACGGGAGGTTTCCTGGAAGAGAAACTTCGAGGGCTGCGGAACGACAACAACGCTGGACTTTGAGTGAGTGATTCTCGGAAGAGTATCATCTCGACTTTGGTTCCAAGAACTTTGGACTGAATAGGTTTTCTATCTCTTTAGTCTTTAAGTGTCTTGGTTGTTCAATGCATGCGACTGAATTGTAGTGCGTATTGTTGTCCGTGTCCGTTGTTTCAAGTGTGGCTGATTGTATTGTGTAGTACGTTGATTGATTGGTTTGATTGGTGACATATTGTATGCAACTATTGTGGAGTGTGCATTTTTGTGTATTGTTTTCGATCTGCCATTATTGAGAATATAATTTGTTTGTTTATCAACTCTCGGCTCTGACTTGTTCTTTGGGCCACAGCCGGCGTCCGCTGGCGCGCCAAAAAGGACCACTTCTAAATTGTCCACGCTTTCGTGGTGCGGTTCGGGGGGCCGATACTTCGGCTCTTGGAATTAGCCCGGCGATTGCCTCCCTCATAACGGGACATGTGTGACAATTAATCTGGCGTCCGCGATACAGGACCTTTTGGTGCACAGTGTGTCCAAAGTAGTGAGAAAGAGCCTCGAGTTGTTGATAGTGCTATCGGAACGATTTTGTGTGTTGTTCAGTGTTCTCGTTAACGAGTGCAGGAGAGTGTTCCGATAGACTGATTTAGGCAGATACTTTTTGCACGCGGCAAGGTTTTATTTGCGAGTTGCGAGACACAATGGATCTCGAAAAGTTAGTTGTGCTTGGTGAGAAGATGGGTCTTTCTGGCGCCGAACTACGGAAGTGGGTCACCCAGAAGGAAAAAGAAGAAAAAGAGAGGGCCAAGGAAGAAAAAGCAGCTGAGTTGGAGAGAGAGAAGTTGGCAGCCGAAAGGGCGAGAGAAGAAAGAGAGGCAAGGGAGCGACAGCTGAAAGAAGAAAGAGAGCTGCAATTGAAGTTGGAGCTGGAGAAAGAAAGACTGGCAGCTGAGAGGGCGAAAGAAGAAAGAGAGGAAAGGGAACGGCAGCGACAGCACGAGATGGAACTCGAGCGGCTCCGTTTGCAACAGCGAAGTGAAACTCCCGTCCAAGCTAGAGTTGAAAGCAGCGAACGGGAGGACCACGGCTTCCGCTTGAACCCAAGCAAGCTGCTCGTAGCGTTTGATGAAAGGAAGGACGACCTTGACGCGTACCTTCACCGATTTGAGACGATTGCGAAGAGCCAGAATTGGCCGGAACAGCAATGGGCAACTGCTTTGAGTACTTGCTTGAGTGGTGAAGCGCTCAGTGTGTACGGTAGGCTGCCTGCAGCCAACTACGCAAAGGTGAAAGCTGCTTTGCTGAAGTGATTTAGATTTACCGTGGAAGGTTTCCGGGACAGATTTCGGACAGGAAAGCCAGCTGATGGTGAGACGGCTACGCAGTATGCCGCCCGACTTTGCCATTATTTCGACAGATGGATTGAACTTTCAGGGACAGCACAGGAGTACGATGAGCTTAGAGAGCTCCTAATTAGAGAACAATTTCTTACTAGTTGCCACCCAAGCCTGTCGCTTTATTTGAAAGAGAGGAAGGCTGAGTCATTTGAAGGAATGCTTGAATTGGCTGATCAATTCTTAGAAGCACAAGGTGGAACTAATTTGGCCAAGGTCAAGAAGGATTGTCCCGATGATTCGAAGAAATTGGCTCCCGAAGAAAAGAAGCGTGCACCAGAGAGCATTCCGCGATGTTTTCTGTGCAACCGAGTGGGTCATCGCGCGAAAAACTGTCGAACGATCTTTACGAGCCCTACGACAGTAAAATGTTTTAAGTGTGGTCAGACTGGGCACAAAGCAGACGCTTGTCGCAACGGAGGGAGTCAAACTCACCAGGTATCCTGTGTGCAAGCGGCACCGAAATCTGATAATAATGCCGTCACTGATGGATTCGTAGAGTTGAAGAATGGGGAGAAAATTCCTATTGTGGGTGCTGTAATGTCAAAACAGCCAACCGGTGTTACGAAAGGAATGCCAACGCTGCCTGGAAAAGTTGCGGGCAAAAAGCAAAAAGATTACGGTGTTAAGAGATACCGGCAGTTCCACTGTTATCGTGCGGAGAAATTTGGTACGGGAAAGTGAGTTGACAGGCAGAACGAAACCGGTTTGCCTAATTGACCGTACGGTTCGGATGCTTCCCGAAGCAGAAATTGAGGTTGAAACCCCGTACTTCAGCGGGAAGGTTACTGCTTTATGCATGACGACCCCCCTGTATGACCTTGTCATCGGAAACATCGACGGGGCGCGAGGGCCAAGTGATCCAGAATGTTTGGGAGAAGACCCGAAGATAGAGCCCTCGCCAACACAGCGGCCGCGAGATACAATGGAGGAACATCCCGTGACGGATCTCACTAGAGCCCAAGGTGAAGCTGCGGCGCAAGAGACAGCGAAGGAGAAGACGATCGTGTCGAATCAGTTCACGGGCCGAGCAACCGGACTTACGTCGGCACGACCTCAACCGACCGACAGTGTAAAGGAGACGGAGTTGGCCAGCCGGGCAAAATGTAGAGGCATGATCAAGCGGGTAAATAAACAGACAGGACCCGTCGAATGTAATGACGCGTTAACGGTGTCGGTAGAGACAACGATGGCTGAGACGACGCCTCAGATATCGTCGTTGGAAAGGGCTCGCCGAAAAGGAATGTGGAAACACAAGAAGAGATCGAGCGAGCACCGCAAAAAGGGGCGCAAGCGCTGCTCGAAGTACTCAGGATAAGTGCTGAAGTCAAATCAGAATGGGTTTGGCAGTGCTGAGTGACATATGTTGTGTTAATGTTCTGGTTATCCTGTGTCACAAGTGTCGAAGTGTGCTGAAGTTAAATCAGAATGGGTTTGGCAGTGCTGAGTGACATATGTTGTGTTAATGTTCTGGTTATCCTGTGTCACAAGTGTCGAAGTGTTGGGCTGTGATGTGATGTATAGTATTGGACCATTGTTGTAATGAGAGAACTTTGTACATTTGTATTATTGGGAATGTGTGGAGGAGTGTTGTACTCATGTGCTTGTGGTTGTGTTTTCACGTGTTGTATAATTGAATTACAATGTACAATTGTATTTAGTGATCTATTGGGAATGTGAA